GAAGCCAAACTCGACACCCCATAGCCATGTGCGATAACGGCCCGGCGTGAATCATGTCTGCATCAAGCAGGTTGTACTCAAACACGCCACCGGGCTTGAGGCAGCGGAAGCACTCCTTCAAGCACAAGTCGTACTCGTCAGATGAGCGACCAAGGGGCTTGGAGGTCTTGAGAAGCTCGTGGAGAGTGCGGGCAGAGATGACATCGAAGTGGCCAGAGGGGAAGGGAAAGGTCCACAGGTTAGGAACGGTCATGTGCTTATGGTTGCCTGGCCCGGCAACATTGTCTGACAAGTTGTTGCCAGCAGTGTAGACGGTGGTGACGTGGGCATATGGGTAGTCATAGGCGACGTTCCATGCCCAGTCGTTGGTGGCAACACCACCGACGTCAAGAATGCGTGGTGCGCTGGTGCGCGTGATACATCTGGTCGCAGGCTTGCTAAGGAGCTTTCCGCCATTTAGCTGCTTCTGCGCTTGTAAGACCCATTGGGTAGGAAGCATCTGGTCAAGGGCTTGACGCTCCGTCTGAGCGCGTGCGATTCTCTCCTTCAGGACAGTTGGGTCGTTGACGAAGAACTCGGAGACGGGTCGTGGTGGCGCTGGTCGTTCAGGCTCGTTGAGTTCGAACTTGCCAAGGAGTTGGTCACGGTGTGCAGAGGGTGTGCAACGGCGCTGTAGGTGCATTGCTTCAGCGCGAGCTTGTCGGTGAATGAAGGTGTCTTGCTTGTGGGACCTGGAGCGAATATACTCTAAACCCTGAACGTAAGTCATGATTGGTTCCGGCGCAGACTCCTCTTCGGGTGTCAGAGCAGTTTGATCGGCGAAAGTGACAGTCTTCTTGACGGCAGGCTTGTCAATAGAGTTTCCACGGCTGCGTGTCTCGGTCGAAAGAACCGGAGAGCTGATATCGCTCATGTCCCGAAGGGCAGCTTGCAGCTCATCTTGCTCCTCCAACCACCGACCAGTCATCTCAAGATTGACTGAAGAGAGCTTCTCGAGCTCAGCGTTGTAGTTCTCATTGTACTGGAAGATGGTCTTGCTTGGGTTAATCTCCTTGATCTCGACATTTTCGTCGACAGGGCTTAGAATGTTGGGTCGCGATGTTGCCAAACCATCTTCATGGCCATCGAGAGTTGGGCCGGAGAGACTGGAGTTGCGCTGAGGTAATGCTGAAAGAGGTGCGGGGGCGGTGTTACGTCGGCCCTCCCACGGCACACCATAGAAGTTTTCTGCAGTGGATGTGTTGGGAACTGATTCCTCTTGCTTGGGAATACTCCAGGTGTGGCGGGCGGATGACTGGAGCGAGGAGAAAAAGCCACCGGGAGACGGGACGGAAAGGGCCGAGATGGGAGTGCTCTCGTCAGAATCATTGCCCGAATCGACCGAAGGGATGGTAAGACCAAGGGATGGCCGGGATACCTGTTGCATCTCACCCCTTGACTCTGTTACAGAGTAGGTTTGCTCAGATTGCTCAGCTGACGTTGAGTTGCCAAGGTGCTGGAGGGTTTCCATCGCTTGCAGATCGAGTTGAACTGGCTCCCAGGAGTCGCTCGCAATGGAACTGCACCTCTGCGACATGATGGGAGTAGCTGGGCAGCTCAGTCTGTCCATCTCTTCTGAGGTGAGGCTGCCATCCAGAGAAGGTGCAGCTGAATGAGCAGGTACATGGAGGTTGTGCGAGTCGATCATGTCCAGAACCCTTCGTGATGGAGTCAACATGTGCGAAGGGGTCATTGGTACGGCCGAGGTAGCGCTCTTCAACTTCTCGATAGTCGGCCAAGCAGACGGCGAAGGAATCACGAGAGATGGGTAACGGTGGCGCTTGGGTTGCCCTGCAATTTTCCTGACGGAGGTTGAAGCATGAAGAGGGACCTCGGCCTCATCGTCGGTGATGTCGTAGAGAGAGTCAAAATCGCTGTCTGTTCGGCTCATACGACTGGCTTGGGGGTATGTCATCGTGTGGATAGGAAAGCGAGGCGAGGCCTGGGGTGTCATGTCGAACAAGCGTGCCTTTGGCGTGGGGAAGTCGTCGGTGTCGCGTGGTGACACAGCACTAGGTAGAAGTGTGGATGAGGGTGAGTAGCTAGCCGAGAAGTAGTAGGTGGCGATGGTCGAGTCGTCTTCAATGACATTTAGGTTGTGCCTCTGGTCCAGCGGAGACACATATTGGGAGTTGTCCATAGTGCCAAGGACTGCAGGGTTGTATACTGCAGGTCGAAGGGTCTCAGGCATGCTGGTATATTGAGCTGAGGTGAGCTTCGCCTCGCGCTATTATTACTAAGTTTACTTTCAGAATCCCGAGTTGGCTGGGATGCCGTAAAGTGGGGAGGTATCCAAATACAAATGTACAGGGTACCGATTGTGTTGGATGCAGTATTAAACGGGTAAACCCCAAAAACGCCGATCTACAGCGGGATGTAAAGATAGAATGCTCCGATCAACGAAGGCTTGGGGTTGGTAAAAAGAGGCCCGGAGGGAGACAGAAGTGAATGGAGAGGAGACTACGGCGCGAGCGGCACAGCAAGAGTATATATCGCGCGTAGACGCCTTCCATTTGACTCACCGAGAGCTAGTACGACCATGGCACCCGCCCGAGGCTGCATTGCCAGCTGTCTGTCCATTCGCACAGCGGCTTCGGTCGAGGTGGAGGGATCAGAGCGGTTCAAGGCCGGCCACGACATGCCGACCGCTCTTGTGCCATTGTGGTTGGCCAGCCCGAGTACATGGCAAGCAGCATCGTTTGGAGGCGCTGCTCGCATTGGGCCTAATGTGCCTTGTGCTGCGGAGCGTGGTTGGATGTTTTCTGTGTAAGCGCCGGGCTGTGTTATTTTGGGCGCGTCCGTTCTGCACCTCGGACCAATAGAGAGGCAGGATCGCGTTCTACAGCATAGTCGCCCAATAGCGCCTTGCCAACTTTGTCGTCTTCTCTCAAGTCATGTTTCTGCTCTTTTTGGCTTCGCTGAGGCTGGGGTCCATGGAGTTGGCGTCGTCCCATGCCACGCGCGATGGGAGCAGCCGTAGCCACGCCGCAACGTTGCCGATGGTTCATGCACACGTGCGGACCAGCACATGACTTCTATATTGGTCGTGGCAGAGGCCGATGTGGAAGTGAGGCGTCGAAACATGGGCGGGAGCATGCCTGAATCGAAACAACAAACGGATGAATAGGAATGGTGGAGAGAGATCGCATAACAATGCAGTGACGCACCCGGTCGAAAGCATGGACCATGGTGGGGTAGGCGTCTCGCTCTTGCTACTCGTGCTACTCAACACCACACGCATATCGTGATCTCTGTCACACGTCAATTTCCACCGTCACCGCCTGTCCTGCTATTGGCGCCCTAACCTCTTCTTCAATCGTTAAACGAAGACCATTCTATCCCCGCAGCAGAGCCGCCGCCATGTCACCGCCCGCAATCATCGCGCCGTCCATTCTGTCCGCAGACTTTGGAGCGCTAGGCAAGGCTTGCTCTGACACCATCGGGCAAGGCGCGGACTGGCTTCATGTAATGACCAATCCGAGACGGCATGGCACGTGACTAACACACTCAGGTCGATATTATGGACGGCCATTTTGTGCCCAACATGACGTTCGGCGCTCCTGTGGTCACCAAGATTCGGCCCCATGTAGATCGCCCAGCCAATGCACATGGCAAAGGAACCTTTGACTGCCACATGATGATTGCAGAACCAAAGAAGTGGGTCCGAGACTTCAAGAAAGCTGGATGCGATCTTTACTGCTTCCACTACGAGGCTGCTATTTCATCGACTGCTGCCGAATCTCCCGAGGGCAAGTCGGATAAGAAGACGTCTCCCAAGGAGCTGATCAAGTACATTCACGCCGAAGGCATGCAAGCTGGTATCGCGATCAAGCCGAGCACACCAGTCGATGTGCTCTGGGACATATTGGACAATCCCGCCAAGGACGAAGTGCCTGATGTAAGTACATTTTCCTACACAATGTCGCCTCTATCACAATCGATAGCGCGAAGTATTGCGCGCGCTATCACGGAGGGTTTCGACACGGGTCGGGTTTGGCGAGGCTGGGTAAGGCTGATGCTACCTGGCGCCTCGCTGTGGCGGCGCTTAGGCACGCGAACAGGTCCAACGCCCAGCACCTGTCAAAACAGATCTTCGCGCCCATTTCGAGAAGCTTGCCGCATTCTGTTGACACCAATACACATTGATTGGATGTTTGTTCGCTCAGAGCTTGCGATGTGGACGCTACCATCTGCTCGCCTCACTCAACACACTCGCCAACGCCATTGACGATGCAAGATCACGTGAGCCCTATCCATGAGGCTAACGTACGCAGATGGTCCTCGTTATGACAGTCGAGCCTGGCTTCGGTGGCCAGTCTTTCATGGCTTCAGAGCTGCCCAAGGTTTCGGCGCTACGAAAGAAGTACCCTGAGATGCACATCGAGGTCGACGGCGGCTTATCGGAGAAGACAATCGACCAAGCTGCTGATGCAGGCGCCAATGTCATCGTTGCAGGAAGCGCAGTATTTGGAGCATCGGACCCGGGCGAGGTCATCAAGAAACTCAGGGAAGCTGTCGAGAGTAGAAGAGGAAAGCTATAAAAGTGTTGCAGGTGAGATGGCGCACTGTCACGATGCAACGATAACGACCGCACCCAGCTGCGCATATACCGGCTTACAAGATAAACGTAGATGACCAACGCGAGGAAAATAGATCGTGAACATTATGAGAAGTCTAATATGGCTGCTTTGAGCATCGGTTCGTGCGGGACCCACCAAAGTGCTTACTTGCATTGTCGCGACATCGCGCTATTTCACGGCTAAATGGCAAACATCTCACTCATGATCGCTGCCCCAGCAGATAAGAATGGAAATGCAAGCAGCTAGCCTCTTCCCGTTCTTGAAGCAATCCTTCTGAAGAAGGCATCGTCTTGTCTTGCCTGCGCCATTATAAATGCATGCAATGTCGCCCCGCCGCTGCTGACCAACAAGTCATATTTCGCCCCGCATGAACCAGGCGTCATGGCATGCTCGTCGTAATTGATGCTCGAATTGGCTTCGATGCGGGGAAAATCCATGATCTGAGAAATAATTTGCCAGTGCTATGCGACACATGACTTCTGCCAGCCCGTAAGCACTAAAAGTCGAAGCAATTGAACACCTTCCACTTCGACGATGAGTGATGCGCGCTGTCCCTCAACCGACAGCGTCGCCTCGACACTAGACTTGCCTTTCAAGCGTGACGTCCTGACCTACTTGTTTGCAGCTACCTTGAAGGAGTGTGAATTGTGATGGTCGCTACAAGGCAAATTCACAACAACTCGCCCAATGATACGTGCTAGAGAGCACACGTCACTTGAGGAACTCCCAAAGTGAATCACGAATTACTTCCGCATTGATTACACACTCTCTCGCGCAATAGTTCAACACCAACTGTGTCAACTTCTCTGACACTCTCCTCAACTTCTATCCTCACCCACTTCTCGAAGGAAGGAAGCATCGGAATCGGCATCGGCATCGCCAGAAGTCTCTCAAGGCCGCAAGGAAGTTACGGGAATCATGGCCCCAGTCATTTATCCTGAGTTCGACTCATTTCCGGGCCCCGATATATCAATAATCAAGATCCTACTCATACTATCGATCTATATCCACTGTTTCCGCATGGTCCATATTCTCCGCAAGCACCCGCGTCATCACGTCGTCGGCTATGAAGCACCTCTCCACCTCTTGAGCGCCTCATGCATGTGTCTCCTGGTTCTACCGTGGAGCCGGATGCTCACATCTATCCTACGGATATCTGAGCTTGGTTTCGGTCAGACCCTCCTAGTCTTGGGTCTGGTGCTGCTTGCCAGCGCCGTGCAATGCATACCGCTCCTGGTTTGTCATCACATATACATCACGTGGAAGGACGGTGTGATGGCACGATAGGTGAATGGTCAGATGCGGGTAAGGCCGAATTGTTCGAGAGAGACGCTTTTACGGGCTATGGAGGCGATAAAAGAAGACAGTGGAAGGACTTTGACGGTTTGGAAGGATGTGGGTGAGTCTGAAGTTGGGGTGGAGAAGCTGGTGAGGCGATGAATACATCACACGTCCACGCACGATATAGCCTGGGCATGCGCGTATCGAGCGTCATGGCATCGTGCATATCTCACCAGCGCTTCAATGAAATCATCAACAATCACCTTTGTGATCAAACACAATACCACGTGAGCACTATCAAATACTATTAACACACCGCGTTCTTTCACGGTCACACACGAACAAACCGCACACGGCCCAGACCGACGCCAAGACTACTTTTTCACTTCCAACCACGTGTCGCAACACACCCGCGTAACCATAGACAACCTCAATCGATGCTCAAACAACTACCAGTACCATGGCCTCGCCGTTTATCCCCCTCTGTCTCAGCCTCTTGCTCGCAATCTGCATCCCTTACAGCATCCACGAACACCCCGACTACTGCGACTGCTGCGAGTGTCCTCTCATTCTAATGGCACTGACTGGTCTCCTTTTCATCTTCTACATCCCCTACAAGGACATTTTCGCAAACGAGTTCCAGGTTTTGGATTGGATGCATTTATTCGCAGCTGTTGGGGTACATTTGTCCGCTTTACACATGCTGGTTAGTCAGGTTAGGGAGGCGAGGGAGGTGGAGACTGCGCAGGTTTTGGAACAGTATGGGTTGTTTCGTGGATGAGGAAAAGACGTGATGCCTAGGTGGTGTGCAGGAGGAAAGGTGTTTAAGTGCCTTTTGTATGGGTGCAACGATGGCTCCTGTAAGAGTAGGCTATTCGAGCTTGAAATTCGAGACCACTAAAAGCGGATGCTTTTGCTGTGTGTATTCACTATTTGCAAATTTTCTATGGAGCATACATCTGTTCAGAGCTTGTTCTCATTTTGCGATGATGTAAGGATTTTAACCACGTTAAAAAAGAGATAAAGCTTGGTCGTTTTCGACTGACGTCCACCGTAGATTACGGACGTTCATATTAAAGCACGAGGCTAGAAAATACAAAACGACACAGAATATTGAGGATAGTTGTCACAACTATCATATCCTACCGTCTACAACATCCAATAACTACCATTCAGATAATGACTCTTGCCAAAGGCACCTATCCTCCATGTCCAGTACAAGCCTTCAACTCGATACCATTGCAACCTCCTCATCATTTCCAATCTCCTTCCTCTCCCACTTCTCCATGATACTGGCCTACATCTTGATACCCATATCCATCCCAAATGGCCCCAGCAAGATAGACATGGGCCGCGCCGCAGAACCATATAAAAGCGAAGGATAAGAGTGGTGCAAGCGTGGCATTCATGTAGCTCACAAAGAGAACTAGCGTGGTATGCAAGGTAAATAGGGCCCTGCCTTGAAAGGAAGCAAGGATGGGTTCCACGTGGCCTGTGAATAGTGCACGGGCGATGTAGATAAGTTGTACGTAAGAAGGTGACGATAGGGTATTCATGACGGTGGAGAAGGCGAAGGCGGCGAGTTGCGTAATGGCAGAATGCATGGTGTGAGCCTTGAGCTTAGTGGATTGATTGCTAAGTGTTCAGTGTGCGGTACGATGAGGCAGGGTTGTGTTGTGTCGTGAAAAGTTGTGCTGTGTTAGAAGAAAATGTTTAACATGATTTTATGGCATTTGCGCAAATATCTTTCAGAAGACAATTTTAGTGGCCAGCCTTGCCCTAACTTCGGAGTGAATGCACAGCATGCATGCTGCTCTTTCACTCAACACAGTCTCACCAACACAGCTTCTCCACACCCTCACTAGGCCTTCCGCCCTCCACCACCTCATCCCATTCTGCCCAGATATGTCCATCATTTTCGAGAAGAAAACGGAAATAATTATACCCCATTTCTCTCCCATGTCTGACTCTAGGATATTTTCCGGCCAGCCACTGCTCCAAAAACACGGTACGCGCCTTTCTCATGAGGATGAGCCACAGGTGAATGAGGATGGCGGCGGAGCCAGTGGCGAGAAGCAAACATGCCAACCAACCGACCCAACCTCCAAGCTCCTCGGGTTTCGAAGCGTGTTTAAGGAGGGACGTGATTGTCCATAAGGCAGAGACCAGGGCCACATGGATGAGGAGTCAAAGCGTTTGGTAGGAGCCGAGCCGTACGTCTTGCGCATATTTTGGACCAGTAAATTTCTGGCGACGATGTTCGTGACTATGGCGGGTAGGCCCATCGTGAGTAATTATGCGGGAGATTGATTGGATCTGCGGTCTTTTGTGATACTTTGATGAGGTTGAGCAAAAAGAGAATGCACAGGCACGCGAGGCGATGACGAACTTGAAAGATTTGAGAGGTATTTGTGTTCCCCGTTTGGTCGGCGAGGCTATTTACAAAGCCTACACAAGCAATACTAAGAGTGAATACAGCAAACTTATTAGCGCGCTCCCGTTCATCAGCTTGTCGCTTCCGATCACTTCGATTCACAATTCACGGCCCAAGGTCATAGCAACCATCTCTGATCTGTTGCTCAATCTGCTCCAACAGCTCCTGCCTTCCCTTGCGATTTCCCACTCCCCTCCCTGCAAGCCACTGGCATTCAATGAAATACATCCATTCTGCATAATCGCACCACATTAGGGCAAAAAGAGCGAACCAGGTGCATCCAAGGAATGTCAAGAGTGGCTTTTGTCGGGCAAAAGAAAATTCATGCGGCGCATAAAACTCCCAAAGAATGTCCAAAAGGCCAAGGGTTGTAATTTGGATCACTGCAACAATGGAGAGGAATAAAGCGCGCATCAAATCGTGGTATTTATCGGCGTGGCTTCGTGGCGAGGTTTGCGATACGTCTTGAACAAACTTACGGACCGTGTAATAACCTAGTAGAACAGTTACCAACCTCTCCGTAGCTGTGACGCATATGGTAAAAATTTGTAGTAGGTAGTGAAATGTGCGAGAGACGAAGTATGGATGCATTCTGCAGGCGCGCAGAAGCTTGTGCGACGACTGAGTAGAGTTGTGGCTGTGAGGCGTGAGAATTTTGTAAAAAGGTTAGGAAATGATCTTTGGAGGAGCAAAAGCTGACGGAAGATGCGGTCAATCATTGCCTGAGAGTAAACTCTGCGAAGTCTCGCTACTAGCTTCACTTTCTCTTGACTTGATGAGGCGATGCATTAAAAGTTGTGCCTGACTTTGCACTATCTAGCTAGGTGTGTGTATGGTCAATACGGTGTTCACCGTCTGCCATGCGCTGCTCAATGCTACAACATGGTAATGCTCCGCTTTCTCAACTCCTGCACTCCCTAGACCACCTCCCCCTTATCTACCACTTCTATCCATCTGCCATTCCTTGCCCGCCACTCAAGATGTGCCCACATAGCCTGCCTCTCCTTCCGCGCCTGCACTCTCCGCACCCTCATACTCTGCCACTGAAACCGCAGCAAAGACGCACATAAAAGAATAAATGCAGACCAAAGCATCGCCAGAAGTGAACACATGAAGGCAGCCACGAAAGGTGCGGGATCGGGTACGCGGGTGATGCACTGGAGGATGGTAACGCCAATGCGTGCTGTGGCCTGGAATATCAGAGATCCAGCTGTGTACCATAGTTCGCTGTACCCGGGTGGGGGATTTTGTCTTCTTAATTCAAAGAGGTGTTTCATGTGCGCTATTAGGCTGACTATCTCCATAGAAGTGAGGATGTCGACGACGAGTTGGTGTTTGCGTAGGGATGGCCGACTTGCGGATATGAGTTCGTCGAAGAATGCGGGCATGATACTGCCCATGGCTGTTTGACTGATATTTTCAAAAAATGTAAAGGTTTCATAAGGTAGAAAGCGTGGGAGAGGAAGGTTTTGCGAGAAAAGCTGTCATTGGAAGGTGCAAAGTTTTTATACTGTGGCTTTTCATGTGAACCATGGTTCTTGAGCGTGTCTAAGCGATGTCAGATATCTGGATCGGATGTCTGGGCCCGAAGCAGTCATGGCTAGCTCCCATGAAGCTCTACCATGGTAATATCAAGAATGTGTCGTGTCAGGATGAACAGGGATGAAGCTGTCGCAGTAGCTTTCGTGTTAGGGTGGACCCAATTGGCCCACTCTTCTTCTGTATAGTCGTGAAGTTTTCAGACTCTAGTGCCATCCTTAGACAGACTGTTGAAAGGAAGTTTTTCGCATAGCACGTGGAAGGTCGGTAGAGATATGGAGGGCGCGGGAGATCTACAGAGCTATACCGCTTTCGGTTAAGGGAGGTCAATGCGCAGAATTTCCAGAAGACAATCCAGTCACTCTCACTGCCACCTCCAATCTATCACTCACCAAGGCATGTTATGCTACGTTCCCTTGGACATTCGATAACCCGCGCCATGGCATCTACACCGCCTGCACGTGTTCCCATCCCCAAGAATGGCGTCGACTACCGCGGTACAGTGGTGCTCGCGCCCATGGTGCGCTCCGGCGAATTGCCCTCGCGCCTGCTCGCCCTCAAGTACGGCGCAGACCTAGTATGGGGTCCGGAGACAATTGATCGCGCCATCATTGGTACTACGCGCCGCATGAACCCGCACACGAACACGCTTGAGTGGTCGCGCCTGCCGACGAGCAAGCTCAAGAACCCCGCGTTGGACCCCGAAAACCGCGAAAGTGTGCTGTATCGGATACACCCGGAGCTGGAGAAGGGCAAGCTCATATACCAGATGGGTACTGCGAATCCAGAGCTGGCGGTGAAGGCGGCAAAGATGGTGGCGGCAGATGTGGCGGGCATCGATGTCAATTCGGGTTGTCCGAAGCCCTTCTCGACGGCGGGCGGCATGGGGGCGGCACTGCTCAAGACACCAGACTTGCTGTGCAATATTCTCACAAGTCTGGTAGAAGAAGTGGGCAAGCCGTACGAGATTGGCATCTCAGTCAAGATCCGTATACTGGACACACCCGAAGAGACAGCCGCGCTGGTCTCGCGACTGGTCAAGACGGGTATCACAGGTCTCACAGTACACTGCCGAACCACCCCCATGCGCCCTAGGGAGCGCGCCATCCGACACCAGCTCAAGATGATTGGGAACATCTGCAGGGAAGCGGGAGTCGCATGCGTCATGAACGGCGACGTCACATCGCGAACCGAAGCGCTGAAGCTCATGGAAGAATTCAACGTCGACGGCGCCATGATCGCGACCGAAGCCGAGAAGAACCCGAGTTGCTTCCGATCAGACGCAGAAGGCGGACCGCACGAGTGGCGCTCGCAGTGGAAGACCGTTGTCACCGAGTACATGCGCTTCGCGCTGATGGTCGAGAACAGGTGGGGCAACACAAAGTACTTACTTGGCCAGATGATTCCGGGCCGGGACAAATGCTACCAGGCGATGAACAAGTCGAGGTGCTACACTGATGTAATCGGCGCACTGGGTCTTGAGGGCGTCGAAGGCATGCTTGAGCATGCAAAGACGGTTGATGCGCACCTTGGCATACCGCCACAGGAGACGAATGCGGCGAAGAAAGCGAGGGTCAGGGAGATGAACAAGCAGAATGCTCAGGCCAAGGAGCAGAAGGAGAAGCGCAAAGAACCACATGACGAGCAACCGGAGGCAAAGCGGGTGAAGGCTGCTGAACCACCAGTGGAACGCCCAGCAGAAGTCGAGGCGCCCGTCGCACTCCAGCCTGAGGCGGCCACCCCAGCCCCTGCTGCGTTGAGTGTGTAGATATTTGATGGTCGGCTGGCGCTATTTCATTTTCAGGTGTTTCTTTGGGTGGCATGAGCTTTGAGCATCTACGGGAGCATCAAAATGATATGATCGCACGATTCCAACGGACAAGTGAAGTATAGTAGGTATATAGCTTTACAACATTGCTTAAACTCTATTCGATTCTCTTGTGTACAGCATTCTTTAACAAGAATAAAATACACGATAGATTAATAGTCAAACGCTTTTAATCCCTTCGCCTGTAGATAATAGCATATTCATTGTCAAGATGCTAGACGAACATGACGTGTTCGCGCGTCCGCATCATTGATCGTCGTTCAAGTATTTGTGCGGGTCCGCCAAAAATTGCAGCCACCTAGAGTGTAAGGGGGCATCGAAGCGCAGTATTATGCGCTTGATATGTCGATCAGTCAGAGAGCCAGGTATAGACTCGCTGAAAGTGACATATGAGACTAGCACGCTATTAGCCATGTGACGACAAACCTGTAACATTGATATTAGCTCACGTTTGAGTAGTCTTGGTAACGTCCAGATTGTTGCGAACTGCTCGAGCATCAGGCGAAGAACCGTTTTGTCATGCTCAATCTGTACTCTGAGAGTACCATCCGGAGTCGTGATCGACTTCCCATGGATATCGAGGAAGACAAGTGTAGTGAACACTACGAATGAGATGGCTGGATCAACCTTCACGCAGAACGAGCTGTCCCATTGTTCAGCAATGCAAGCAATGTTTTGACAGATCTCGAGGACTTCTTGCCAGCTTATCAGCCATTGCTCATCTAGCAGTACGCCACACTGCAGCAATGCGAGAAGTAGACGAGCCATAAGCAGCTGAAACAGAGTGACGATTCGCGCATGATGGTCAGCGTGCGACTCGTTAGAGAATGCGTTGCGTTTTGGGTTGAGCCAATTCAACGGCAAGGCCAACCGCAGTGCAGACAGTCGTCGATCGACCTCAGTCAATCGAGAA